CCAAAGATATCAAGGGTGCCTAGTATGTTTTGCCATCATAAAAAAAGGGGAAGTATGTGAGTGCAATATGCCCTTAAATTTATTTTGAATTATGAGTGCAATATGCTCTTAAATTTATTTTGAATGATGTCAAAACTAGGTAGCTTAGATCTTTGTATAATTAGACCTTACAATCTTTGGCAAAATGTGCATCATCATCATAGAACATGTAATACTAGATTACATAAGCCATCACATGCCAAAATATGATTTCCCCCCCCACAAAAATACATGCATGGGCCGATACATATGGAGTATGGGTCGATACATACTGAGTGGAATTTTAAAGAATTTGAATTTGGCTTCAATAGGCCAATACAAGGGAGCAATGCGCCGATACATTATGCGAATGGGGTGACTCATTCTTGGTTGGGTCAAATCAACCTGAAAGATATTTTTCAAGGATTTGTCACTACCTTGAATGTATCTATACATTAAGCAAATGGTCGATACATTGAGCAAATGGGTCGACTCATCCTATTTATTTTTTTAATTTAGCTAATGCCTTGAATGTATTGACTCTAATTGGTCTTGTATTGACTCATTCAGCTAATGTATTGACTCATTCCATTTTAGAGTCAATACATTTTGTACCAAACTTTAAAAATTGAATTTTGGCTAAAAATCTATTTTAATCTTTTTTCTCTACACACACATACATATAAATACTCATCCATGCATTATATCTAAGTATTGAAACCTGAAAGATACAAATAATTCTCATCATCTTTAACCTTTTTTGACACATTTATCAACTACGCATAATCATTTTTTATTTTTTATTAGCAAGATAAGATTGATAAGGTCCAATCTAGGTCGTGTAGTCAAAATTGGGTTGAGGTTTTCTTTGAGGGATTCAAGGATAAAATCTTTAGAGTTTTTATTCTAAGATCAAGAGTTGATTTGAAGGTTTTTTCCCAAGTCCTGTCAAGTTGGATTTAGCTGAGAGAAGGCTTTGAAGAACACGGGTTCTTTCAAAGAAGTAGCGGTGACCGAAGGATAAATTTAAAGGCTTGAGGCAAGATTTGGCAATTTGGATTCAACCGAGTGAAAGCTTTGAAGAACTAAAGGTTCGATCAAAGGATTAACGGTAACCGCAGGATCATATTAGAGATCTTGTGTGACTTGATCTTGCTAAGATCAAGGATAGAGAAGGAGCTAGGATCAACATCAAACATAGGGTTTAGGGGTTTGAATTTCCACTAATTCTCTTGTAAACTAAATTACAAAGGTTAATTATAATATCTCAATTAGATTTCGAAATGAGGGCAGACGTACCCATAGTAACGAAAATTGGGGAATGAACCAAACAAATCTTGGTGTTCTCTCTCTCTCTCTCTCTCTCTCTCTCGCTCTCTCTCTCTCTCTCTCTCTCTCTTTTGATTTTGAGAATAATTGATGTGTAATTTGATTTTTTGAAAATTCTAGTTGTGTTGAAGTGTTTAAAACTGTTTTTAAAAGCATTGAAATCTAAACCATTATAATTGATTTGTTATAAATTCAACACAAAAAGAATCAAGCTTGGTATACTGCACACTGTGTGTTCGATAAAACTACTGCAAGTGTTTGATAAAACTCATTAGTCAAGTTTTATTTTACTTGTCATTGGAAACCGTTTATTTTAAGTGTGGTTTATATTCAAACAAATTATATTTAACTTATTGATCTGCTTTTCTCATCTTTGACATACATTTTACTACGGTTGTACGCATATCCAATTCTACCAATAACGATTTGATTAGACTAGAGTCAATCCAAATTCTCTTCCGCTTGCCATATAAAGATATTTTTCAAAAAAGAACTTTAAAAATAAATTTTCATTCGGGGATCTATTCAACCCCCCTTTCTAGATTGTTGTCCTCGTCTAACACTTGTTGTTACTTGGTAACACATGGATTGAATTTGTTAGTTGGACTCTACTGTCGTCTTATAGTCCCCGAACGAGTTGTTGCTTTGCAAAAGAGAAATGGAAAAGTTCGGTGAGTGTGTGTAGGTAACCTTGGGAACAAGCATATTAAATGATAGTATCATCACTGAAACATTTTTCAACGTTATTAGAATGTGTGGTTTCAAGCCTTTAGAGAAGGGAGTAACATCATCGTGATGTGGTTACATTCTCGAGGTTGATTTTCCACTGTTGTTTTTTTCTTCTTCTAAGCCTTATTTCATTTTGAGTCGTAGACTTGTCATTTTTGTCTTCTTATGTAAGGTTGACCCCTTACTTAGAAGAATTATTTCACCTTTTAACTCAAATGTTCTACTTATCGCAAGTTTCCCTTTACTCTTCCTTGAATTCAAGCAATATTATTTGATAAGTTTAAAGTAGATAGAAATGTCACTAGAAAGGGGTGGGGGGGTTGAATAGCGACTCCTTTAAAATCTTGCTTTTAGTTTTTGAAACAAGCTTTATCAAAATAAACTATGAATATAATCAATAACTAAAGTGTTTGTAGTGTGTGAATTGTGTATAAATAAGCAATCTATAAATGAAAAAGCACTAAAAGGAACACACATCGGTTTATCATGGTTCACCAAACTTAGCTACTTCAGTCCCCACGTTTTGTGAGATCTTCCAATTAATGATCAATATTTTATGATATTTTTCTTACACCAAGATGTATTTTTTATAGCCTCATAAGGCTAACAACACTGATTACAAAGCTTCAGCTAGTTTACACTATCACCCAAGATCAACCTTGACTTGAGGATATACAAAGTATTAAGAATGATTTGTAAGGAGGATTAGATTCATAATTCCTCAACAAATGATTATTGAGATGATGTGGTTTTAAGAAAATCTTAGAAATAGAGACCCTTGGTTCTAAGATTATAATTTTAGTGAGAATATGATTTTTGAAAGAATTTTACGAATATTTCTCTTGAGTTTTCCTTTAGTGATTGTCTTGAAATAAAGAGAACGTAAATGACTATTTATAGAGATTTTGTTCCTATAGTTTCTTGAGTACCATATCTACTATGAATATATACTTGAAAGTACATGTCTATAATTGGTATTTATGATTATGCCATTGATATGTAAATGAGAAGATCGTTTATTTATAGAATTGCCATTGAGAGAAACTGCTACTCATATTGTGATTCTTGATACTCAACTTCTTCATTATTTACCAAACCGCCATTTGGTATTATTTAATTGTTATAATCTGATCCTCTAGGATAATTACATCTTTGTCATTTGTTCAAAAGTTGATCTTCTTTAATAGTACATAATTACGATAACGCCACCAATACATTTTCTTGATATTCAATATGACACAAAATTACAAAAATATCATTGTGTGACTTATTTCTTTTACACACTTGATATTTTGTGTTTCTTTCAAACATATGCTTTTCTTTTCTTGTAATGAGTTTAATAATAAACTTGAGAACTATTTCTTCTTACATCCAATTGATGATAACATTTATACATACCTGTCTTATTAACATCCACTCAAGAGCACACATCAAATAACAAATAAGATCATAATCTTAATTATATTTACATCAAAACATCAAAGATGATATTTTCCTCAACAATCTGCCCCTTTTTGGTGATAATAAACTTCTTGTAATTAAAATTTTGAATTTTTCAGAAATGGAGAAATTTTTTGATCCCCTTCAATTTGTGCATAATATACAATTTATGCCCCCTTAATTTATGCATCAAAGTTTATGATTTTATTTATTTTATATTCTAATTTCCAAATATTTCTCCCTTAATTATTCTCCCCATTTTGTTATTATACAAAAAGAAATGAGAAATACATATAATACCATGGAGAAAGAGATGATTTTTTTTTAGATAAATGCTCATAAATAAATTAGATATAAATAACATGTACCTCCTTTAGATGTGTTTCTTACACTAAGTCTTAAAGATGAAATCATCTTAATTTTTAGTTTCTCCCCAAGCTCATCTATTGATTTTGGCTCAATTGGGAGATAATGATCATGTTGTTTGGATCTTCTTTTAAGGATTGTCTTGTTCTAACTCTGTCAGAAATATTTCCAATTACTTGATTTTGAGAATGATATTTAATTATTTTCCAACTTCTTGGAGGATCTTGAGAGGATGGTACTTGTGTTTCCTCACCATTTTGATTATTATCTAAAGTGTGGTTTGGTTCTTTTTCATCATCATCACATTCCTTTCTTTTATCATCAAAAATATTAAGTTCATAAAAAACAACATGCATATTTTCTTCTACAGTTTGATTTTTGATATTGTATACCCTATATTTTCTCGAGAATGTAGAATATCCTAAAAATATGTCTTTGATTGATTTTGAATCAAACTTCTCCAAACTTTGTTTTAAAATATAACGATTATACCCAAAAATATGAAAGTATGATATGTTTGGTTTTTCATTTTTCCAAAGTTCATATGGAATTTTATTTAAGGTATCTCTAATAGAAACACGGTGCAGACGTGAAATTATGTTATGCCTGTTTTTTTATTTAACAACATACATACGTGGATATTCCTTTTTTTTCCCACAAAAAATGCAATAGTGTTCAGAATTTTGCTTTTGCATTTAGTCCTTGTAAATTAGGGTTTTGTATAAGAAAGTAGAAATTGAAACTTATGTGAGCGAGGAGCCAAAGGAAGGAACGAAGATGGAGAAACATTGATTTTAAGACCAAGTAACACAATCGCATATCTAGAACTAAATCTCATCTATTGTATCTTTTATCTTCATTGTATTAATGAGTTAGCTCAGTTCATTATGTCTTCTTGAAACTTGTATCTTATGGATTTCACTTTTATTTTTCATTACGAGGGTAGATTTGATAGGTATTGTTTAGTACATTATAGGGAAAATGAGCATGTAGTAGAAATAAATCTGAATAGGTGGAGCTTATTTGAAGCAACACATATCGTGAAAGAGTTAACTAAGCTTGAATATTCCGATTATTGGTTATGGTGGTATAAAAGTGATGTTGATAGGTATAGTAGAATGGTTAGTGATACAAATGTTGATAAAGTATATCAATATGCCATAGAAATGAAATGTGCAGTGCACATATATGTTGAACATAAAATTAAATGCAACGCACAAGAAGCTGATGTAGGTGATTTTCAAGAAGATGATGTTGATGGTGTTGAACAAGATGAAGTAGGTAATGATGTTGGTGGTGTTGAAAATGGTGAAGAAGGTAATGTTGGCGGTGTTGAAAAAGTTGAAGAAGCTATTATTGGTGGTGTTGAACAAGTTGAAGAAGGTAATGTTGCAGGTGTTAAACAAGTTGAAGAAGCTATTGTTGGTGATGTTGAACAAGTTGAAGTATGTCAAGTAATTAAGGATAGTGAAGATAATGAATTTGAAGTTGATGGTTTATCATTTGATGATTGTGAGGATGAGAGGGATCTTGGGATGGATGATTGTTTTGATGTTATTGAAAATCAAGATGAAGAAAATAGCAAAAGAGGTAGAATAAAAGTTGCAACAAGGAAGCATAAGCATACTCTAAAAAGAGTAACAATTGGTTTTGATAATGTAGGATCATCTAGTTATGTAGATAATGAGATAGACATCAACTATGCTAGTGATAAGCTTGGTAGTAGTGACCCTATTGCTTCTGATGAAGTAAATGAACCAAAATATCCAAAGTTTAAGATGCAAGAGTTGGAAAAGAATTACAAATTCAAAATGGGATTGGAGTTTGTATCACTTTAAGAATTTAAGGAAGATATAACTGAATGGTCAATATTAAATGGGAGACAGATAAAGTATGTGAAAAATGACAAAGTTAGAATAAGGGTAATTTGCAAGGGCAAATGTGGATTTTTAGCATTTGTAAGTAAGTTGGGAATAAGAACTTGTATAGAATGAAGAAATAGATTAGAACACACACATGTGGTAGGGTATTGAATAATAGTTCTGCCACTTCCAAGTGGGTTGCTAAAATTGTGGCGGCTAAGATGGCATCTTCAATTGGTGTTAAGATTCATAATATTGTCTCTGAGATTAGGAATAACTTTTCTCTTGGTATAACTATGAGCAAGGCATGTAAGGCCAAACAAATTGCAAAAGCTTTGATTGAAGGTGATGTAGCGAAATAATACAACCTTTTATGGAAATACTCTGCAAAGCTAAGGAGAATCAATTCTGGGAACACTTGCAAAATTAATCTGACAAGGGTTGGACCAACAATACAACCAAGGTTTGACAACTTTTATTTTTTCTTAGATGGAATTAAGAAAGGATCCACAACCTCTTGTAGGCCATTAATTGGAGTTAATGGATGTCATCTTAAGACAAAGTATGGAGGAGCTCTTATTATTGCAATTGGTAGAGATCCAAATGACCAATACTATCCCATAGCTTTTGGTGTATGTGAAACTAAAACAAAAAAGTCATGGATATAGTTTCTTACCTTGATTTTAAAGGACATTGGTTAAGAAAAGGGATTGGTTTTCATCTCTGACCAACAAATGATACTTTCACAATTGTAATGTTTTTTTTGGATCTCATCCCTAACTATATAATATGTTATGGTTTTCATCCTTTACTATGTTAATTATTTTTGGTTTTAATCCCTGACTTTCCAGGGTTTCATACATGTCTTTCAAGAATTGTTTGAGAGGGTAGAACACAAATTTTGTATTAAGCATTTATATTCCAATTTCAAAAAGAAGTTTTGTGGAGGGACACAAATTATAGCCTTGATGATGAAAGCTACAAAAGCCAGATATATCCAAGCCTTTATAAATAATGTATCTAAGGCATGGTGTAATCATGCATTTTCTTTTTATCCTAGATGTGACGTTTTTATGAATAATGTATCTAAGGCCTTTAATAGCAACATATTAGTTGTAAGAGAGAAACCAATATTAAATATGTGTGAATGGATAAGAAACTATCTCATGAATAGAAATGCCAACTTAAGAGAAAGGGTTGATAAGTGGAATCATAGGATAATGCCTAGACTTAGGTTGGATAAAGAAGTGGAACATGCAGGGAATTGGACTCCTAATTGATCTGGTGATACATTATGGCAAGTTGAACATACACATATTAGGAATAATTTCATTGTGGATATTTCAAATAAAACATGCACATATAAGTTTTGGGAACTAGTGGCCATTCCTTGTAGACATGTAGTAGCTACATTTGGTTTTGGAACCAATGCCCAAAAGATTATGTTGATGATTATTATTCTAAAGATGCTTATGAGAAGTTATATGGTTATAATGTAAGTCCTATTAATGGAAAAGACATGTGGCTAGAGGTTGAGATGGAAGAGATTTTGCCTCCAGCATATAAAAAAGGACTTAGAAGACCAAAGAAGTTGAGGAGGAGGGAACCTGATGAGGACCCTAATAAGGTAAGATCACAAACTAGTTATTGTTGCACAAGATGTGGTGTACATGGCCATAATGAAAGAAGTTGTACAAGTCAAGTAGTTGATCCTGAAGCTCAAAAATGAAAGGTATTGAACTTGTTGTAACTTTGCATATGTTATTAATGTCATTGACAATGTCAAGTAGTTAACTCTGATCTGTTTGTCCAGAGAAAGCCAAAGAAAACTACAACAGGATAAGGACGAGGACAAACTCAAACTACATCAAGACAAGGACAAACTCAAATTGCATCAGAACAAAAACAAACTCAAACTCAAACTTCATCAGGACAAGAACAAACTCAAACTACAGTGCAAGAGCAACCACAACCTAATGAAACTCAAATTGAAATTGACCCTGAGTTTGAAATGTTTGATGCAAATCTTGTAGCAGCATTTGAGGCAACTCAAACTCAACTAAATCTTGCTGTTAATGGACCTGTTGCATATGCACAAAGTCAATAAAATCATATCACACCTGTTACGTCAGCTCATATTGCACCTGTTGCAACTTCACAAATTGATTATATATCTGACTATATTTTAATTTCACTTGTTGCATCAACTGATGATGTAACTACTACACTTGTTTCTACTACTTGTCATACCCTAAATTTGTCCTACCTCTTTTCAAGTATTTTCGTATTTTTCAATTATTTTATTTTTTTTACATTGCCGACTTAATTTCTTATTATTTAGACACGTGCCCGCTTGCCATTTGAGGATTTTCCGACTTTTATATTTTTGTCCAATAAAGGTGTGACACGTGGCCTAAAACCTTTTTTTTTGTGAATTTTATTGTCATGTTTCATTTCCTAACCTTTTTTTTTCTTTTGAAATATTGCTAATAATATTAAATATTTTGCATATATTTTGTTTTGTTTGATAATTATAATAATAGCAAATAATATTTCCTTTTTATTAAATATCAAATTTAGTTTGTTTTTATATATCGTAATTGTTTTACTTAATTGTTATTGTGAATATTAATATCTTTATATAGTTATAGTTATGTTTAGTTTGTATTACAATTATATGATTTAATGTTAACAAGTATTGAAAAAAGAAATTAAATGAGAGAATCAGAATTTGAAGGAAAAAAACGGAAGTTGGAGTAAGGATTGCCCATCCGGAAGGCCCATTAGAGAGTTTTCACGATTTAAAAGAGAACTGATTGAGAGAACCCTAAGGGGGGATTCACTGTGCATCTCCTCTGGAAAAAAATCAGCCGCCTCCAAAGAGAAACCCTAACGGCGCCGTTATCCTCACCCTTCAGCTTTCTCTCAATCGGTTACCAAACCTCTCAATTCAACAACCTTGTCAGTCACTCTTTCGTCTCAAACTCGACTTCCACCCTTTTCAAACCTTGTCTTTTCGTGGTTGTTACCACGAACTACGACTGCTCTGATTCTTCATTCTCGTCCGAATGTAAGATACGTAGGCACAAGATTGCGATGGTCTTGGCGAGCTACCTTCTACCCATTTCTCCCGTTTCTCCGTCTTCTCTTCATGGTTGTTACCACGAACTACGACTGCTCTGATTCTTTATTCAGTCTTGAATATAAGATACGTAGGCACAAGATTGCGATGATCTTGACGAGCACACTTCTATCTTCCTCCATTATTTCGTCCACACATTCCCAACCTTTCCCGTAGTCGAACTACGACGCTCTGATTTCTCATTCTTGTCTGAATGAGTATACGTAGGCACAAGGGCCCCAATCCTTGGCGAGCACCCTATCCTCTAACCACCCCTCTCTCCTTAGCGTTTTAAACCTTTTACCCTACCAATTCTACCTTTAACAAACGAGAAGAAAACAAGTAAACCTAAACAACACTCCCCACAATTACCTTAAGAGGTTCCCGTTGAGTACGACTGACGTGAGGGGTGCTAATACCTTTCCCTCACGTAATCGACTCCCAAACCCGGAACTTGGTTGCGACAGCCCTGTTCCTATCCTTTCGTTTTAAGAGGTTTTCTCGATATTTTCATCTCCCATTTGTTCGGGAAAAATAAAGTTTGGTGGCGACTCTGTCGAACCGCATTTCCGCGCCTTTCGCGCGAGGGTCGTTTCTTCGAAATGTCTCCGTGATTTTTCGAGGTGCGACACTACTCTAAGATTTCTTAAAACATTTGAGTTTATTCTACCATTTCCTAATTATTTGGAATTATTCTGTTGATGTATTGCACCTCTAATACTCTATATTTTATAGAAGAAGAAGAAGACAAACAAACCACAAGTTGCAAGAAAATTGGAGTTTAGGAGAAGTGACAGGACTCGGGTCCTTAGATGCAAAAACTTGAAGGGAGAAGGATGTAATCCATCAAAACCTTTGGGTGTGGACAAGGGTTTATAAGCATCTTGTTATGGTGTATTTTTATTCCTTTTAGCTATGTTTGTTGTGTCTTAATTGTATTGTTAGACAAAATTCTATGCCTTTTGGCTTCATGTAGTTTTGAGACTCCATGAGCATGGAAATCACTACCATTTATGGTAAGAAAAGAAGAGACACCATGAGAGTGTCAACAAAAACTTAAACATTTTCGCCTTCTTCCTTTCATTTTCTAAATTCAATTTCATATTCTCTTTTTTCCCAGCTTCAAGATCTTTAATAATGCAACCTAACTCCTGAACTACCTCTGAGAAGTTACATTTGATTGAGTTTTTGTGTTCAGTTGATGTACTGCATTCAAGTTCATCGTCTCATATAAATAACTTGCAACCTAATCTCGAATTATAACACCTTCAGAATCTTCTTTTAGGGTTTTTAGTTGAATTTGAAATGAACATTCACATAGCTTTATTGCAACCACAAAATGGGATTTGAGACTCATAGAAATTACCTATAGATGATGTTGCCATGCTTGAATCTGTACTAGATTTTGAAGATTTGAAGAGAGGAAAGATAGAGGAAGAAGCGACGAAGAAGAAAAGATGCAAAATGGTGGTTTTTTTTATTTTTTTTTATTTTTTCCTCCTTTTCAAGGCCTTTCCACTTGGTTTTCCATGTATTCACCACATAAAAATGTAAAACGTTTCCACGTCTACACCATTTGTCTAGTCAGCTTTTTTTAAACATATATCTAACCCAGGGACTAACGTCAATACAAAAGTGAGATATAAGAACTCAGACAAAAAAAAAAGATACAGGGACCAAATTAAATAACTCTCTAACTTATAGGGACCAATACACTATTTAAGCCAAGTTTTTATATCCAATTATATATCTTGCGCAACCACTATCCAAGTAACTCCTTTTCTTGTTTGTCAGAAGATATTCTTACATCACAAGTTATTAATTATTTGGGTACCCATATGGACTTGGGTCCTTG